CGAAACATTTCTTGTGGACTCCTTCAGCTCAAGCTGCTTTTGACAACTTAAAGATAGCCATGACAACAACTCCGGTTCTTGCCCTGCCAGACTTCCAGGAAACCTTCATTGTCGAGACTGATGCATGTCAAGATGGCACAAAAGGTGTTGTTGATGCAAAAAGGTCAGCCCATAGCCTTTCTCAAAGAAAGCTCTTGGGGAGAAACACAAAACACTGTCCATCTATGAAAAGGAATTCTTAGCATTGATCATGGCAGTTGAAAGATGGAGGCATTATCTACAACGAAACGAATTTATCATCCAAACTGATCATAAGTCTCTGGCATATCTCAATGAATGAACTTGCATTCGAGACATGCGAGAGAAAGGCAATGGCCAGACTTATGGGGTTGCACTTTAAAATCATATATAGGAAGGGAAGGAGAATGTAGCAAGCAAATGCTTTATCGGGGTAGGTCACATGATGGCTGTCCAGGCAGTTTCTTGTGTTCAACCTACTTGGATACAAGAGGTACTCAACTCTTACACAACGGACTCTCAAGCACAGCAAATCTTGCAGAGGCTGTCTATTGTCAGTCTAGATCCACAAGGATATAGTCTCCACCAAGGTCTTATATGGCACCACGGCAAGATTTGGATTGGGTAGAATTCGCTTTGCAAACCAAAATCATTCTTTGCCGCCACTCTAGTGCTCGGGAGGTCATTCGGCATTGCAGCCACCTATTCCAAAATGAAGAAACACTTTGCCTGGAAAGGGATGAAAATGGATGTGGAAAATTTTGTTAAAGCAAAGGCAAGGTATCTGTCAGCATGCCAAACATTCTCTTCAACATCCAATGGGTCTTCTGCAACCACTGCCAATACCAGCAAGAGGAGTATATCAAGATCTCACTATGGATTTCATTGAGGGCCTTCCCAAGTCCGAAGGATACAGTGTGATTTTGGTAGTGGTGGACAGAGTTGACTAAGTATGCTCACTTCTTACCCATCAGACATCCTTATACTGCTCTAATGGTTGCTCAAACCTTCCTAGATACTCGTGGTTAAGCTACATGGACTGCCAGACTTCTAATGTCACAGATCGAGATACTATTTTTGTCATCATTTCGGAAGGAACTGTTCAAGTTGTATAGAGTGAATCTGCAGTTAAGCACTGCTTACCATCCTCAAACCGATGGACAGTCAGAGAGAGTGAATCAGTGCTTGGAGATGTATCTCAGGTGTGCTGTCCACAATTCACCTAAGTCTTGGAAATCATGGTTACCATTAGCTGAACCATGGTATAATTCTTCTACACACACTGCTCTCGGTTGCTCTCCATTCAAGGCATTATATGGTTATGAGCCTAACTTGGGTGCCATACCATCTATACCATCAGAAACATCTCCTTCAGTAGCAGAAGTCATTGAGCACCGAGAACAACACCTGCAATCCCTAAAGCACAATCTGGCAAGAGCACAAAACCGAATGAAGCTCTTAGCCGACAAGAAACGTAAGGATTTCACTTTCTCTGTGGGAGATCAAGTATTGCTCAAACTTCAACCTTATACTCAATCAACTGTGGCCAGCAGGCCTTACCCCAAGTTGGCTTTTGAGTACTTTGGCCCTTACACAGTACTCGAAAGAGTGGGATCAATGGCTTATCGTTTGCAGCTACCTGAAGACTCTCTGATTCACCCCATCTTTCACATTTTCCAGTTAAAACCCTTCTCTGCAGATTATACTCCGGTGTATGATTCGTTACCAGTCATCACTGATCTGGAGGCCGCTGACACGGTGCCAGAAGCAATCATTGACCGTCGCCTTGTCAAGAAGGGCAACACTGCTATACCACAGGTGAAACTGACATGGGTGGGAGTACCAACCAGTGCAACAACATGGGAAGACTACAATGTTGTTAAGCAATGTTTCCCTAATGCACCAGCTCGGGGGCAAGCTAGAACTCAGGCGGCGGGAGGTGTCACACCGGCTGGTGTGGCCACGACCAGTGAAGAACGCTGAAGGAAGAAGCCTTTAGGAGAAGACGTATTCCGTGTGGCTTAGCGTATTTATGTATTACGTTTTCTTTCATGAACTGTCGTGTGGGACCAAGTGGTCATAGACTGTATCAAGCACATAGGTGCTGAACCCTGTACCGGGGGAGGGACGTCGTGAACTCTAATATCAGAAAGCTAAGGCAGAGGGGTTAACCCTGCCCGCTTCTTCGTATCTGTGTATCCGTCTCGATCGCTCACGTCGACGGCGACTCGCCAGCGGCCAGGGGTGTGACAATTGGTGGCGGCATGTCCGTCCGCGGGCATGGGAGAGGCCAAGAGCGTGTGCAACAGAGTGGAGAGTGGGGACTAGGCAGTGACCTCCAAACCCTAGCCGAATGCATAAGGTTGGGCTGTCTCGAGCTTTTGGAGACTCTGGAGTGTTGGGCCATATCCAGCTCCAGCAAGGACGAAATTCTTAACGAGCTGCGGACTGAGCTTGGCTCATAACGTTTCTTGAACGAGCCGAGCCGAGCTGAGTCGAGCTGGACACGAGCCGAGCCAGCTCACAAGCTTCGAGTTCTGCATCTAGCCCTAACCAATATATATGTTGATCCTTAAAATTGGTGTGGAGCACTCGGAGATTGGCATCGTGCTATAGGATAATCTATACAAAAAACAAAATTGTGAATTATATTTAGGCTACTTGTGGAGGAACCTGTCCACCCTTATTATAGTCTCAGACTTGTCATGCTCGGCAAATATTCTTTCAGCGATAGGCGACGTGCTCATCGTGCAACTATATATAGTGATTTCGTTAATCTCGAGATCGATCAAGCTGGCTCAATCCATTGGAAGCGTTCATAGTCGCTATTGTAATGTTCTTTCAGTATGCTGCTTGAACCAAATGCAAGCCCGGGTGATCGCTACGAACAAAAGTACGAAGATAAAGAAAATTACATGGCTGCCTGGCCTTTTGGTGCATGCCAAATAACCGGGCATGCATGCAGCAACAGTGAGGTACTCATCCCTGCAGTTCCAGAATCATGCATGGCCTCCTCATGTTCTTACTCTCATTTTCCAGCCTTGCCGTATCTTCTGGCCAAGTTAAGCAGAGCATGCATGCAAGCTCTTTTTATCTCTCTAATAATAGGAGGTGGGTAATTTTCTTGAAAATAAAATAGATCTAATGGTTATATATCGTGAGAGCCTATAGCTTTAGTGGCTAGATGTTTCTGATTAATGTGAGAATTTATAGCATTTATCCTTTTTCCTAGCGCATCTGGTGAGAGTTAACGTGGAGACTCCGTTGGGGCCTCCAATTAGTAATATAAATGGATTTTTTTTTCCTTTTTATCTATAATAATGGCAGAGGTGGGTAATTTTCTTAGATCTAATGATTACAAATTGTGAGAGCCTATAGATTTAATGGCAAGATATTTCCGACTAATATGAGAATTTATAGCATTTATCTTTTTCCTTAGCGCGTCTGGTGAGAATTAACGTGGAGACTTCGTTGGAGCCTCTAATTAGTAATAGTAAGATATAGAAGTAAGTTGTAGTTTTTTTCATAGTTACAGGGTGGTAATTTAGATACAAATTGGTTTTTTTTATAATGACACATATGGGTATTTATATATGCATTTAGGGTGGTATTTTTCGTCTTGCTTGACTAATTTTCAGTCACTGGGTACAACACCACATGGTTAAAAAGTGGGCAGCTAATGTTTAGTTGGATATATAGCCAGGGGCTAAACTTTAGTTGGATCCACCACATGGTTCTGTTGCAGCATTTTATTTTGGGCGAGGATCAGTACGCGACGATCAAATGGCGAATGAGTTGTGCAGCAGCACTTGCAGTTTGGAAGGATATAGATGATGCGCTTTTTCCCTGCGTCGTTCCAGATTGCTAGGCCAGTGACTGAAAACAAAAGGCGGTATAGTAGTAGGATAGAAAGGGTACGGTGAGAGCAGCAAGGCGCACAACTCAACCAACTCCAGTACAAAATGAGATAAGGCCTATCAATCTCAATGCCACAGAAGACAAAGAGCACTACTGGTTCTGCTTGTTGTTTGCTGGTGACAATAAATCAAGCAAGCTGTCACGCACAAAACTCGATCGAGAAGCCAATGAAGTATACTTGTGCTCGAGACTTTCTCAGCTTTCCTTTTCTACAGTTTGTCGTTTCTATGCATGTCATTTCTCTTCAGCATTTTGTCGGGATCGGAGAAGTCTGAAATGTGCAGTGCAGGCCAAAAGTAAGGACAAAGGGGCCGACAAGGCCTGGGGTGACCCACGCGTCGTCGATTGGTGGTGCCCCAAGACGAATCGCCTCTGCGTGCGCGACCTCAGCTTGGTTTGAAGACGCTGCCGCACCTCCTCCTCCTCCTCCTCCTCCTCCGTCACAGAAATTCTCCTCTCTCTCGGCAGCCACCACAGGCAAGGTGACGGAGCTTCGGGCGTATCCGATCGACCCGCATGGCGGACAAGGAGGCAAGAGGAGAGTACCCACCAGCCAATGATATGAATCCTGACGATTGCTCGTTTTGTGTCCTGTCCTTGCTGTTAGTCTTGCAGTTTTAATTTGCTTGCGTGATGGGTCTTGTTGATTTCTCTCTGCTCGGAAGAAAAGAAATGTTCGGTCCTGTTACTACCACCGCCGTAAGATAAGGAACACGTGCAGCCCTAGGGATTTCTTCTTCTTCTTCTTCTTTTGTTATCACTTCCTTTCTCTTGTTGGGAGCAGCAGAGTCGGCTTTTACCACGGCCACTAGTTCAAAACAGAGTTGAGAGGCCAACATAACTGGTCTTCGTCTCCTGATTTGAGAAGACATGCCCCTTTACAACATGTGTTAGACCGTCCGTCTCCAATGGTTGGAACGACCTGCTAGATTTAAGGTCTATGTGCTGTATCGACCTTCACAAGAACTATCGTAAAACATCACTTCCCCCGTGGCCTAGCTTACTTCCAATAGCACTGCGTTTACAACCATCTATTTAATCCTTGTATCGCATCGCAGATCACCATGGTCGTCAAGGTTGACCTTGAATGCGAGAGATGCAACAAGAAGATCAGAAGGGTCCTCCACAAGGTCAAAGGTACAGTATTGTAGTATAACCCTCGTCACCATATATTCAGTCATTCACCAATGCAAACGCCTCTATCTGCAGTCTGATAATTCCAATCTGCCATCACATGGCTGCATGAGCACCAATCACCTCTCCACTTGTTGGGCTTAATTACCTGTCAGTCGCTTTTACAACTGTTTAACAGTTCGATCTGTGCTGATGATCATTGTTGATTGTGATTGACTGGGCTGCGCAGACAAGATGAACATCAATACTATCTCCTTTGATGAAAAGAGGAATCTCGTGACCATCTCTGGCCCGTTCGACGCCGAGAAGGTCCGTCGGAAGCTCTGCTGCGAGGCTGGCCGGATCATCAAGGGTATGGACGTCAAAGCGCCCGAGGAGACGAAGGACGGAGGCATGGAAAAGGAGGAGCACGGAAGAAAGACGGCTGCGGCGCCCGCGGTCAACCTCCGGCCGCTGCTGGAGAAGATGTTGGAGCGCCCCAAGGCCAGGACCCAGCCGGCCCCCTGCACCGGCTGCTGCGGCAAGCAGACCACGCAGCCGCCAGCAGCGCAGGTCGTCGTGCCCGCGCCGGCCAGCTCCGTCTCTGGCCATGGCTAAGGCGCCGTCGTTGTACTACGGCGTACGTGCCGGTGTACAGCATCGAGGGGTGGTAATAATGAGGCGGCGACGGGCGGCTGCCGCGCTACCACCACCAGCAGCAGCAGCGGTGCTGCGAGGAGGACCCCCGACGGCGATGGCCATGGGCCATGGACAGTGACACTACCATGGCCAGTGCTGAATGGAAAGAAAAAAAAAGAGGGATCAGAAACTCTTATTTAATTATGTGTTGTCGCGTGTGGTTGTTTATGCATGCATGTCTGCGGTTTTTAATTTGCTTGTGCCTTATCCCACAGTGCAAGCCAGTTATTAGCTCTGGATGACCTCATATTTTATTTTATTTTATCCCTTGACGCCTTCTTCTGATCAAGACCGCCTGTAATCTCCTGCTCCTGGCCATGCCGGTACATATGTGTCTGAAAGATGCTGTTTGCTGCAGTAAAATGCTGGGTCCATCTTAATCTTCTGATTCTGGATCGAGCTCATGTGTTGATTGTTACTACCACCGCCTGTAATCTGTTGCTTAGGTTGTTCATCAACCATGCATGCCGACTTTCAGATCGAAGTGAGCGAGCCTCGTTAGTTAGCATGCTCCGATGGTGACCGTTGTGGCTTCATTCAAGAGCTGCCTGTCCTCGACGACAATGTTTGTATGCATGCATGGTTGGTGGCACGTAGCTGTACAACATATTGGCGTGATTGATCGAGCTAGATTTTATTGTACTACTAAGTAGCACCAACCATGGAATTGATTGCGCACGCACCAAGTAAGACCAAACTGACATAAATATATGTCGTCACAAGCAAACCGGTTGGGCAACGTGAGATTGTTAGATGGTGAGATTCTGCGCGCCACAGGAATAATTCATCGAAGCTCCATCTATGTATAATAAGAGGACCTTCCACAACCACAAGTAAGCTGTAGGGTGTGCTTCTGAATATATTCAGCCCTGCTAGCTGTCTCTGGTTTCCAATTATTGCTCCTATGTTTTTTTTTTGGATAAAGAAAGGTTTATTGATTTTCAGGAGCATATACACTTGCCGCCACCCACGTGCTTTGTGTACAAAGGAGAAGGTGGAGGAGGCCGTCCGTGCCAGGATGTGGTACTGATACTTTTTTTTTTTTTTTTTTGAAAAGGCGGCAAGAGTTTTGCCGTGTAAAATATGATTAGGAGGAGAGAAACAAGAAAACAGGACAGGGAGGAAGCTCCCGCAACTTGCTAAAACACCTCTCCGCCTAATCATATTTTCACGGCAAGGGCCAACTCCTATAGTACCTGCTGCTTTTCATTCCGCAGATTATGCCTCTGCAGCGCCATCACGGTGGTGATGTCTCTAGCCGTGCCGGCTCTCCTCTCATGGCCGGGCTCGAATCAGATTGGGAATCAGAAAGGCTGATGAGCAGGCAGAGGAACGCAAGGATGGAGTCGCAAGAGATGGGACAAGAGCCTCCGCCAGCTCCATTCCTACCCGTGCCGGAGCAAGCAGATGCAGAGCAGGAGAGAGAAATAAAATTCCCATCAGCTAGGGTTTCAGATAGGACTTTATATAGCCAGGAATGGATAAGTGGGCTATATGGACCTTGTTGGGCCAACAACAAATTCAAAACGGGCCGAAATTTAGAGGCCGGCATAGCAGTTTACGGGCCTGGCCGGTAGAAACGAAATTCGCTTGAAATTGTAAATTTCATGCCGAAATTCTGAACCATGAGATACATTCATCTTGCTATGCACCTAGATATACGCCATGTCTAGAAAAGCCAAAACGACCTACAATTTATAACGGATTAAGTAGTAGATAGATAAAAGATCCTCTCGGTTGGAACCACCAACTGTATATCTGGCGTGTTATTTGGTTGGGTTTTCGGGCTGGTTTGAAATTTGACTGGTCTTTGGTTTGTTATGAGAGGAAAACACTGTGGCTGGTTGAATAAGCTGGCTAAAACCAATGTTTAACAAGGTGATAGAATGCTCCCTCGAGCTTCTTTTTTTCATTCACATATAGTATAGTACAGTGTTCTTTTTTCTTTCAAGTGGATAGAGGACTGTCATCAGTCGATACAATATGGTTGGCGTGGTAGCTGTAAATCTTGTCGTGAGTGGGAGATGGTAGCCGCAACCATGTGTGGGCACGTGCATGCATGATGCATCGTCAAGACCAAACTATATATAGCATAAACTTAACGTTGTCATAAACCAATTGCCCGACGTTAGATGACAGTTTGCTGCCACAGGAACTGAAGCTCTATATACATAATAGGAGCTTCGCTGCGTTTCTTCAGCCCTGGTGTAAGTAGTCTTCCGATCCTTTCTCTTCTCTCTTCTTTGGTAATATGTGCCTGAATCTAGCATAGGGCAACTACAACTACTATGCTGCAGCCACACAGCATGATGATAATCCGATAATTCAGAAAGCAGCAGCAGCAGCAGCAACACAGGAGGGGTTCGATGAGGACAAAATGGAACTGGAGAAGCATATGCAGAGGAAGGTGGGCAAAGTTAGGATTGACACGATGATGAGAACGATGCCTAGGTACCCTTCACCTCCAATCATTCCAGATCCCGGCAAATGGTATAAGGAGCCGTGCATAGTGGCCACCTGGAGCAGGCAGAGGAGATGAAGCATGTGGCTGCCTACCACTGCATCGAGGAATCCGGGCGCCCGGTCGAGGATCTGTACGGCGCCGTCATCTCTGCCGTGGGCACAACCTATGGCCGCCACCTCTACCGCTATAAGGACGCAGGTCTCAGCGACGACGACTTCCTACCCATGATGTTCTTTGACGCCTGCTTCCTGGTGCATTGCATGGTTTGGTATACAGATAGGTCCGGGAAGATGGATGTTTCGTTGAGCAAATTCTTTGAGCACAACTACCAGCCTGTTCGCTTGGTCGTATTTGGCTTATGGCTTATCAGCCAACGAACAGTATTTTTCTCTCACACCAAACCAGCCAACGGTATTTTCAGCCATGGCTTATAAGCCAAACAATGGCATCCGTCATGACATGATGCTGCTTGACAACCAGCTCCCCTATGGTGTGGTCGAGGCCATTCTAAACTTGAGGGTCGTGCCCTTCGACTTGAAGAAATTCACTGCTCTCTGGAAAGACCCTGCAGGACCGCAACCTTGTTATGGAAGAAGTGCCTGCAGTTGAGTTGGTTCAAGACGACGAATCACGGCAGCATCTCCTCGGCCTCCTCCGGTTCTACATTTTAGGAACAAGTAGTAGTGACATGCTACGAACTCAGACGGATCTCAGATTCGTGGTAGCGATAACAGAGTTTAGGCAAGTAGCAAGATTGGAGCAGAGGAAGACAAAGAGAGCACGAGGACGGGTCGAGGAAGTTTGCTGCGGAAGCAAGAGTTTACAATAATCTTTCATGCCCTCTCCTTTCGCAACCACCGTATGTATAATGATGAGCTTCACGCCTTGGCCCATTCGTTGCCCGAGACGCGCCGGTTAGCAAGCCTGGGCCGGCTGGACCTTCGCAGTGTGGCCCATTCTTCTCCTGCTGGCTCCAGTCCATCCTCAAGATGCGGCTCCAGCCCATCTTCAAGCATCCGGTGCGGACTCGCCACGATCGCCATCCAAACGTAACATCCCCCCCCTTCTTTGCGCCGAGCTGGTCCCGACGGCGCGCTGGGAAAACTCTTGGCGAAGAAACTCCAAGTCCTCCTAAGTAGCTAGAGACCTTGGCAAGTTAGACCAGAATGAAACCTTGTGTGATGAGCGCGTACCCTTGATGATGGATCGAGTTTGAAGAATCCGCTCTGGAACACTCCAAAGGATCACTTTAGAAGGTGGATGACTGGTAACAGAATGAGAAGTTCCCACTGACTTCTTGAGCTGCGAAACGTGGAACACCGGATGCGCCGAAGAAGAAGCCGGAAGCTCAAGTCTGTAAGCCACCGCTCCCACACAAGCCAGAATATGGTACAACCCGAAGAATTTGAAGGCCAGTTTCTGATTGCTGCGATGTGCTAAGGAAGATTGCATATATGGTTGGAGTTTGACGAACACCAGATCACCAATCTGAAACTGACGTTCGGACCAATGCTCATCAGCTTGCTTCTTCATACGCTGCTTAGCACGGTTTAGATGCTGGCGAATCACCTCAGACATCAGAGCTCGGTCAGACAACCAAGTAGCCAAATCTGTAATGTTCGTGTCTGAAGAAGTGGCAACACCAAAATGGCGCGGTGCATAACCATACAATACCTCAAAAGGAGAATGCCCCAAAGCTGAATGCCAATTGGTGTTATACCAAAACTTGGCTTGATCCAACCACTGTCGCCACTGATGCGGACAAGCATGCACAAAGCAACGTAGGAATGTCTCAAGACATTGATTGACTCGTTCCGTTTGACCATCCGTTTGCGGATGATAAGCAGTACTCATCCGCAGCTCAATTCCAGCCAACTGAAACAGCTCACGCCAGAAATGACTCATAAAGACTTTGTCTCGATCCAAGACAATGGCTTGTGGCATATCGTGCAGCTTATACACTTGAGATAGAAAAGACTGAGCCACTGATCGAGCAGTAAAAGGATGCTTGAGAGGCAGGAAATGGGCATACATGGAAAAAAGATCCACTACCACCAGGATGCAGTTATAACCGTGCGAAGATGGTAATCCTTCAATAAAATCCATGGATATCATAGACCGGCGCCGTCGTGAATCGGCAACGGTTGCGAGCAAGCCGAGCGACTTGGAGCGGTCGTCGGTTTAGCTCTTGGCGGAACAACACACAAGAAGCGACGAAAGATCGAACGGTGACTTCATGCCGTGCCGTGCAAAGAGTTGCTTCAAGCGGCGATAGGTGATCGACATGCCGGAGCGCCCACCTGTGCCGTGAGAGTGCACATCATTGTAATCAACCGAAAGTGTGGAACTCGGGATCGGCACCCACCTAGATTCGCACTTGTAGCGTAAAGAGACCATCTCGAAGAGTAAAGTCGATTACTGAATCCGAGGCCACGACCAACTTGGCAAGCAATTG